CTCAACTCCACAAGGGCAAGTAAACTGGTACATGCACGTTGAGGTGGCCCAATGTGACAGCTTGACTTTCGCGTTCTGGCTGAACAGTTTCTTGCAGGAAAACGTCAGTCGTAGGCTCGCGGCGAAGTATGTTTTCCTTAGCGATTTTGAGAGGCGCTTGCGAAGGATCTCTGCTTCAATATCACCTTTGAATTCTAGATTTAGTAGAAGTATTTTCTTTGGAACGGACTGGACTTGTTCGGAAGTCTTCTTAGATTTGAGATTCTTGGGAGGGAAACCTTTTTGTTTATTTATAAGCAATAAAGTTCCATACCGTGCCCATAGTGGTTCTTAGTATGTATATTCACTCTGTGTACTATTTTTGCATGTACCTGTTTTCGATTTAGCCCAGCTTCTACTTTAAACCACACTGATCAACGTTCAACAATGGCACAAGGTAATAAACGGGTACTTTCTATACGTAGGAACAGTTAGGTCACTCGGCTAAGAAGATACGTACATCACTACATGTTTCACGTGGCCCCAACAATGTCCCCGAAGTTACTGTGCCTGATTTGTTATCAGAGATATACGCAACCGCTAAACAAAATAGGATGGACCTTATTTCTCTAGGAATCTCTGTGAAGGAATTCAATGAGAAAATGGAAAAAATTAAGCACTTGCTGCTTCTTTTTAACCAAAATGACAATACCAAACCGGAAAGTCTGCTGAAGTATATATAAATTACTCATGGCTTTCATCGGTTTCTGAATAATATTTGATATTTCAAATAATCCAAATGGTGCTAAGGGTAATTTATTGAACTCATGTTCCTGCCTCGCAATTTAATGTACTTGAAAAAGATAGTTTGTCTGATGACAGGACTTATGTATTAGTTGCATGAAGGTTGAAACCACAGAACAAACAAAAACTAGAAAGAAGTGCTCCTGTTGGTTATGTGAGATTCTCATGAGACCTATTTTAGCAATTCAACAACTATGTTAGTTTACCAGCTTAGTGTAATATCGAAATGTAATATAATGGACTGGATGGGAATGTTGTAATACTATTTACTACGTAGAATAAATAAATTAAATACCATTGTGGTAGCCAATTTACAAGTCTGAGCCTATATTAGCATTTATAGCGAACGAAGTGACTAAACGAATCATTTACTCGTACGTCTTCGCATACTCTCTGCCTGATGGGATACCTCTGGACAAAATCAAGGTGGCATGCCTCCAAGCGTGCGCCATGCCATCAGCATATCGCCACCTAATCAGACTCAGGAAAAATCAGGAAGGTATACTTGCCCTGTGCTGTTTAAATTCAGTGGTCCCAATGATGCTTGGAAGTTCCAGTCGTCTAACATGCTGATAAGTTCAACTACGCCTTATGGTAACGTTAAACTTGATCATGACCGAACGCCGTGCCAAAGACGTAGCCGTGCAAGTGTATCAAGTGTCGCAAATACTAACTGCAGAATGTCCTACAAAATACTCTCTCGCCTTACATTTAAGTAAACCTAATGCTTCAGATACACACGAATATGAAATACCCTTAAATAACAAAGTTTTTCCTAGTAAACCCAATAGTGAGGCAACTACTGTCCTAGACTTAGAAAAACTGACGTGATATCGATGGGTCTGTAGTTTTCGATATTAGAAGTTCATCCTAGTTTGTGCCTGGGGGTTATAAATGACAGCTTTCAGCACTCTGGGTGACTGCCATTATTTAAGGACAGATTGAAAAACTTTAGTAAGATAATGTGTATGTCCTCAGCAACCCTTTTCAGAAAGATAGATGGAATTCCATCAGGTCCAGCTTTATAAGATGTCCGGAGGTGTGAAGTAGAGGAGAAAATTTTTGTGGGGTGAATGTTGCATTATCAAAAAAGACCACCTACTGTTTCTTCATTAGTAAAGTAGCCAGCAAATTGGAAGCTGAATAACTCGCATATCCCCTGCAGGCCTTTGTATGGTCTTTCTCCATCCACCGATAGCGCATTCTCAACTCTTAAGCCTATTGACACTCTTGGTCCAGAAGGTAAATCTTCAGTTGGGCGGACCAAGAGATGATGCAAACAGCTGTTGACTCACCAGCATCGCGTCTCTGGTTTCATATGAAATAGAAAAGACTGTGAAGGCCCAAATGATTTGGCATTTACTTTCTGGTGACCTATTTTCCCTACCTCGGTACGGTTCCTTATGTAGAAGGCGGTTCAATACTTGCCAGTTAGATTATTTTACCACATTATAGAACTCATAGGTAATTGATACTCACTACTAGCACCATTCCTGGACATCCGCAAAGCTTTTGACAAAGTTCCACATATTAGACTCCTAGAAGTTTCCAATCTTGTGGAACCGCAGTATAGCTTCTCGCCTGAATAACGCCTTTTTTCACAGGAAGAGAGTAATCAATCAGAACCAACCACTGGTTGTTTACACTCAAGCTGATGCTGAAGACCGGGCGTAGGTAGATTAGGAGCGACATAGGCCGTCACCACTGGTTATATCGGGTAACTGTAAAGTGGCTCATGTGCATGTGTCAGTAATAAGCATCAATAATTATGTGGTGATAAACCAGTCTAGGTAAATTCTGGGCTAGCCTCTTAGACTGCTATTGAACGTGAAATAAAGATACGGTGCAAGAGGAAGTTGACAGAATTTACACCGTAATTCCATTTTGCCTAGTTGGCCGACTAGTTGCGTTAAATTCAGATGAGATCAGTGCAATGCAATACGGTGTTGAGGGGTCGTGTGTGACTTCGTAAGTCACAACGCGGACGATGACTCTTAATTCATTTCTTTGATTGGATGGGTGCGACACGCCGACTAGTGTACAGCGGATACGCTCGGCTGCTGGGCGGGGGACTAATCTTACGGGATGACCAGACAACTATATCACCAATGTACTAGCATGACTGTGCAAGAAGTGCGACTTGTACATAACCCGAAATCATTGATGCAGTAGTTGAACTCGTCACTAAACACGGGCAGTGATGAAGTGGTCAACTATATAATCGACATATATGCCTGGCATTTTGTGCTGTGTGGCCATACTCATTCATGACTGTTTCGCCATGACAGTAATTATGATGGTGTGTATTATCAGCATAAATGTTGTCACTGATATGGTGATGGGGCTAATGTAGAACAAGGATGGTGAAATGCTACTTAGCATTCCAGATGTACAACAGCGATTATTACGATAGCAATACAAAAATTTGAAATGCCACTAAAAGGGTGAGTTCTGAGTTAAGGCTTACGACACTAACTCATATGAAAGATACTGGTGATAAAAAAGTAAATCGATGCTCATCTAAGTGACCTCCTGTTGTGTGGTTGTCTCTATCATCCAGAAGGCAGGCTGCTGGTAATGATAGTTTATATGCCTACATACAAATAATTCGAGATAACTTTCCGGGAATGAAGCTGCGGTTATTGCCACCAGAGATTTAAAAAGGACATAGTGGTGGAAACACGGCGAGTATCGGTTGAAAATTAAGGATAAGAAGGGGGTGAGTCGATATAAATCATGGTGCACTCACAAATTCCGGAAAGCCAGTAAGTTAGGCAACTTGATTGGCACCAGGCTTATTTCCATTTGGCTTCAACTGGCTATAATGCTAATGATTCTCGTGTGACCATCCACTCTGCCACACCTGAGCTTCTAGCATACTACCTGCTGGCTCCTTAGCCTGGCCCACCTTGCCCGGTGACCAAGCTGTCCTTGACACCTCTCTAAATAATGAAGGAGGAGACACCTACCGCGGCTCTTCAAAGGTGTACTTATTAGTAAAGGTGAAGGGACCATACAAATACACAGTCGCACCGCAACTGGGCAGCCACACTGCTGTTCCCCGAGAACGTAGTTGTCCGCAGACAGATCCAACCAGGGCAGATAAACTCGTTGACAGCTGAAAGCAAAATGCCTGAGATTCACCAGAGTTGAGAGGATAGTTTGAACCCCTACAGTTTAAATTATTGATGGTTTTATGCACTAAATGAAGGGCCATAAGCAAATTTAGGGGTGAAGTGGCTAAAATTTTCCGCCAACCTTGAATGGAATTAGAATGCCGGAAGGATTCAAATACCTTCGTCGGATAATTGTTCAGAGAAAGCGGTGAATCTACATTTGCCACGTCAGTTTCAGCACCACTTGAAAGACTTTTATTCCTTTTTTCCGGACCTCCCTATCAATAGCTTTAGCAAACAGCGTGTAAATACTTATTCGGACAGGCAACGTCTCAAAACGGTGTGATCTCCTTGGTCCGCCCCATGCCGCCGTAGAGGAAGGGCTGTATATAACACCAACAGAGGGTAAATATGGAGCTGCTACTATTAGGCGATTCATTTAGGCTCGATGGCTGATGAATCACAGGAATGAGCAGACAGGGCACAATAAAACCAGCACACACCAGCGTAAGTATTCTGCAAAAACTGTGTATACACAACCCTATAAAGTAGTGAACACACTTTGGAAACGGACTTTTACGGCTTTTATTGCGCAGGGTTTACCGGAAGGATGTTGGTACACAGGTGTCCATAGTCACTTTACAATATATGTGTCCTAATCACTAAGGTGAGCGAGATATTCTTGTTCCTTATTAGGATTACTTCATGTCTGATTATGAAAATGACCACAAGGCTGTGAACTAGTTACGATTCTGGAAGAAACAGTAGCAAGAAATTCTCTCAAGTAAATGGTAATTTTCAGGTAATGTCAAGAGAATTTATTGACACTATACCATAATAGCATATGGGCCAGAAGATAGAAGACAAAAATACTAAATTATTGGAAATCCTTTAGTTACACTTTTCCTTTTTATATCCGAAAGCAGTTTAACTATCAAAAGTTTTTCATTCAGTCGCTGGACTACTGAACATTCAGTTGTTTTTCATGTCCGTTATAGAAATAGCGGTTAGTTTGTCTTGCCACGTTTTTAGGCGCGGTTAGTCTGAAGGCAGAATGGTTAAGTACTCTTGGGAACCTAAAGATGAGGACGAAAGTAAGACATGCAAGGCTCGATTCCTTACCTACGTACACATTTCAAAAATATGCACGAGTGTGCTTGTGCCGTCAAAGTAATTCTTTTATCGACAGTAATAAATTCTCTAGGGAATGACGCTTCAGCGAGCACAAACATATTTGAAGAACGTTATTGAAAAGAAAGAAATCATTCCTTTCCGTAAATTCAATGGCGGTGTTGGTCGACACGCTCAAGCGAAAGTTTGGAAGACAACTCAAGGTAGATGGCCCAAAAAGTCTGCACAGATGCTTCTCCAACTTCTGCACAATGCCTTCAGCAATGGAGTATACAAAGATATCAAAGGAGGTGAAGCCAGTCGTTTGTACATAAAACACATTCAGGTATTTTTGTGGAATTTTCTTTTACAGTGTTAGGTCAACCAAGCTCCAAAAATGAGACGTCGCACATACCGTGCCCATGGTCGGATCAACCCCTATATGTGTTCACCATGCCATGTAGAAGTTATCCTGGCCACAAAAGATGACATCGTTCCTAAAGTTGCTGCAGCCACTCCACAGTTGGTTAGAAAAAAGAATCTAAGAAGAAAATGAAACGTCAGATGATGAAGGAAAATGCTGGTTATTGATTTGTTTAATACACGTTCCCGGATTACTTTGTATTTTTGTGATTTCCCATCACGTTCAAGGTAAACCCCTTAAATGTGTAGCCATGGTTTTGAGTCCATATGTCTACTGATTCTTAAAATCTGACTGCCCACTCGTGACAGCTTAAAAATACGAAGGCACTAGTCGTCAGGGAATCCTTTATTGGCCGATTGAAGTTAATATTTGACAGTGGTGTCGCGCATTTTGTCACCTACTGGCATCGCTTTTGGACATTGGAAGTAATCAGGGGATCGAATGATATGAACTGCTTGGACCTTCCCTAATGATGTACATCTGTACATCAACTGTTTTGTCTTACGTTAAGTAGGTTTTGATATTATGGTACTACCCATTTGCTTGTGTAATGTTAATTATACTGACCGGTTAAGGTGTTCATGCCATAAGTGTTTGGTACCAGAACAATTTATGGTATTTGAGTTAGTGATAAATATAGGTCTCATGTTCTTTAGAAAGCGCCTCAAATTATGATATATTTCTCTATAGAGTTTGCCGATGTGATTACGGTGTCAACAATATCGCCCTTAATAGACCCAGCTCTAAGTAGTGAGTTGAATGTGTATAAAAATGTAATACGAAGTTTTGAGGAACTATGCTTTTCGAAACAAACCACCTTGAAGCTTTGCACATTGTTTCACCTCGAATATGGGCTAGTCAGTGTTGTCCACTTGTTTTGTGGATATCATTGAGTTGTGTGCAGATGTCATGTCTCAAATGTTTTGGTCTACAGCACATTGTGGAACCCGATATTCAGACGAAGACAGATCAAAGGTTGTATTAAAATTCTCACGAACTTAACGTTGATGAATAATAATAGTTCCCTGGTGTAATTTGTTTTCGAACAACTACTCTCAGCTCCGTGACTAAATACACATCTGATGTGCTGCGCATTAGTGTATTCACCTAGGGGGTGTAATACTAACACCTTACGAAGCATGTCACAAGTGGTTCTTAACCATGTTCTCAACTATTTCACATGCAACTTGATCTATCTTTCTTCTGTATTACATTGGATCGACAATTCAGCGTAGGATTTAATAGTGTCCCTATGAATTTATAAACGTTTCTGCAAGAAGTCTGCACATCTTTAAATGTCTTTATGTGAAGTCGGTCAGTGATTTGACCTCAAAGCTTTTACTAATGCGCTAAATGTTTTAAAAACACTCCGTAGTTGCTAATCCCACTCTTTGTTGGTGGACCTTCCTGTCTCCCACCAATTCTGTTTTGTGGTAAGACATTTACTGATGTTCTGTGTATACCTATTTTGAAGTATCAGACTAGACGAGTTGAGCGAGGAGACTACATGACGATTTCACGCTGTAATCACCGTTGCAGTTTTTCCCCAGTAAGTTCGCTCTTATCGATACGAATAATGTCGTGTTTGACGGACACAGTTGTCAATTTCAAAAATGTGAAAGTTTTGAAGAATGGAAGGTGCTAAGCAAAATGTAAACGCATAGGATTTAACAAGTCTATACCTTTGCTGTTACTTTCGTATTCTTTTGTGGCGAGGAGTAGTAGTTGATAAGTATTTGTTAATTAGATCGTAAAGATATGATTGTATTAGTAGTAATAGTTCACAAAATCGTGTGGACGCTACTGTTAGTCATCATTTAAGATGAGCTCTCTTGAACTTTGCATTTGGGAGAAATTGTATACGATATCAATCAGAATAATCGTCTTTCTTGGGATTCTTCTGGTTTGTGAAAATTTCATCTACGCCTATGAATCCACAGGCCTGGAAAATAGCTAATACAAGTAGGTAGAAGTATGTGAAGTGCATTTTCATCACTAATTAACGGTATCAGCTGAATTTAGAATTTAGGTTTTTACCGGAGTTGTCCTAAAGTATGAGTGAGTGTTATGCGCATTACCTCGCTCATTAACTGTTTTTTTATTCTGTTCAAGAACTGAGCCACGTGGTACAGATTCTTCATCTACCAGACTTTCTGCGTAAGAGCTGATAATATATTTTAGGTTGAAGTACGCTGGTGACTCTATCCAAACTCTGGAGCCCACTTATCAGAAGTCATATGCTTAAGCCAACATCCTACACCCTGTTTACTGACAAGTATAGACCGAGTGTTTATAAAGTTTCAAACTACGTGTAGTGAAGGTCTTCATACATACGAGAGCTACCACATAGTTTCAAGCTACATTAGGATCGGTGCTTCAATATATATCCAGTGGATTTCGCCCACTACTAGATAGCTCTGGGAAGAATTGGTGAAGAAGTCGCTCGGTATTGATCACATATAGTCGAACAGTTCAACTCTAATAGTAGTAAAGACCAGGTTGAAACGCAAATGTATGCTGTCCTAGCCGGGAACTCATCAGCACGACGTGCTTACCGGTGTCCGAACCCAGGACTCTCCGGTTTCTAGCTCGTAGATTATTCAGCCACTGGGACCCAGCTGAGTGGCCCATGAATTCTAATTTCTACCAATCCGTGATTTTAGAGTGATCAACAACCAGTATCGTCGGCGGCGAGTACTTGTCCTCACTTCCGACCGCATAGGACCCCACTGGTCACGACCTCTCACCAGAACTTCAGTCGACTTCGTCTCATAGCCAGTCACTGGCGAGCATCAGATTCTTAGTAAATGGGGACAGGTTAAATCGTGACAATCTATATAATAAAAACTCACTGGACAACAGTGGTATTATGCACAGCAATAATGGTATCTAATATATTCTAAAAAGTAAAGTTTAGCAAATCTTTTTAGGATGATGCCGAAAAGCAGGAAGTCTGATTACATCAGCGTCTAGAAGGATGTTTACTATACTAATGGATTTGATTTTTAAAAAAACTGACTAATAAACGAAGAAAATTCTTTTTGATAAATTCGTCATCAGGTTCTACAGTTACATGGCCCAAATAATTAAAGAAATAGTGTTATTAACAAGTTTAACGCTGCTTCAAATTACACTGAAACAATAGTATCGATAGAATACAGTTCAAAAGCACCAGTAAGAGGAAGATAAAAGGTACTGAAGTAACACTAAACTAAGCATCTTATACATTAAGTGAAGTAAAAAAATTTATAAATTCATATGTCGGACAGTGGGTTAGGATAACAGTAGTGGCTGCCTGGAACTGTTTCTTTTGTACGTAGAGCTCCGGTTGTCTTAGGTGAATTACAGTGGCTTCCGCTGTTTAAAATGTTCAGAATCTGGAGACCTTTGGTAATTTATTTGATACCCCATAGATAGTAAGAAAGAACCGCTAGCTTTGGGGATAGCAATTCGAAGAACGAATCTCCATTGGTTTTAACAAATGTTATGAATTATTTTGGTCGTCGCGAAACCGATGTACGCTGAAGTAGACATATGGTATACACATGACACACACATTGTTTCCTTTAGTTCCTAGAGAAACATAGGGCTTCAGCCGCACGTCTCCATTTTGTTCGGTTTTCCGCTAACATTTTCACCTGGCTCTACGTCTGTCCACATGCTTTCATCTCATCACATGACCTCCTCCAAGTCACCCTTGGACGACCAACTCGCCGCTTCCCTTTCGGGTTCCACTCGGGCGATGGCTTGTCTAGTGATGTCACTTGGTGGTTTCCTCATAGTATGGCCAATCCAACTCCATTTATTGCACAATCGGTTCCTCGTTGGTTTGTTCCCAGAGATTGATCCCTGTTGCCCATCTTTTCTGGCCTCCTGATCTTGAGTTCTGAGCGAAGAAAACTGTTGATAAAGGTCTGTAGTTTGTTTGAGGTGCTCTTTATGACGCACCAAGTCTCTGATCCATATCGTAAGTAGCACTGACTTCACATTGAAGTAGAAAATCCGGATCTTATTTATGATGCTGAGGAGTGCTGTTGACCTTCACACAGACTTAAGGGTAATGAAAGCTTGTCTTGATTTTCCGATTCTTGCTTTGATATCCTCGTCAGTTCCGTCAGCCTGTAGTTGAAACGATGCTTCCCAGGTAGGTAAAGGAGGTTGTTTCTCTCAGGTTCCTCCCATTTATGCTGGCTGATTGTTGTCTGTTGTTGTTGTTGTTGCTGTTGGTGTTGGCCAGGAATCTTCATCACCTCTGTTTTATCTATGTTCACCTGAAGTCACGTCCTATCTTTGGTGCTTCTTCTGCCGTCAACTTGTTGCTTTTCATTTGCATATCTCCCAGTTTTTGGGAAATCAGACATATATCATCGGCGAAGTCCAGATCCTCCAAGTTTTTGTATGAGTCCATTTTGTGCCTGTTTCCTCATTGCCCGTTGTCTGTCGCATTATCCAATCTACTGCAATCAGGAAAATCATTGGCGATAGTAGACAGCCTTATCTTACTCTCGTCTTCACTTCAAAGGATTCCGTGAGTTTCCTGCTGTGGATTACTTGGCATGCAGCATTGTCGCACAACTGTTGAATGAGATGTATAATTGTTGACGGTACTCCGTAGCAGCGAAATAGTTGCCAAATCACCTGTCGACAGACGCTGTCGAGGGCCTTTTCAAAGTCAATGAAGTTGAGACACAGAGCTGACTTCTATTCCAAGCTCTGTTCAGTGATGATAGGTAGTTTTGTGATTTGACCGATGCAAGGCATGTTCCTCCTGAATCCAGGCGTGTTCCGGTCGACACAAATCAATGTGTTTGTTAAAAGTGAATAGTTTAGTTCCTTTATTTACTTTTCTCAGTCCTTTAGAAAGTCGTCAGCTTGAAGAATGTGGGAGAATGAGAATTTCTGAGAAGTGAATTTTTATAATCTATCATTGACAGTTGGAGATAATTACCACCGTAATTTCCATAGTTTCCTACTTCT